GGGAAGCCCCTTCCCTTTGATCCCTTCCCCAGAGGGGGGGGGGGTCCCGGGGGGGGTCCCGGGGGGGGGTCCCAGGGGTGGTCCCGGGGGGGTCCCGGGGGGGGTGGGGGGGCAGATTCGTTTTTCCTCGGGCGGCCTAGAAACCTCGAAAACACTCCAAATGAGGTCCGAATGCCCAAGATGGCCCCCGAGACGGCCCAAGAGGGCCCCGAGTCGCCCAAAGATCGGCCGAAAACGCCCAAGATAGCCCCACGACCGTCCAAGAAGCCTCCAAGACGTCCCAGGCCCCCTCCAAGAGACCCCCAGGAAGCCCCAAGAGGCCCCCACTAGGCTTCCAAGCGGCCCCTAAGAGCTTCCCAAGAGGCCCACAAACTACCCCCACGAGGCCCCCAAGAGCGCTCGTCGTCGTCGTCGTCGTCGTCGTCGTCGTCGTCGTCGTCGTCGTCGTCGTCGCCATTCAGGGTCGGCGGCACCGGCCGTAAGGCCTTCGCAATACTGAGGAGCACGCCGGAGTCCAGCGAAGTCTCCCAAATGGTGCAAATCGCACCAAAAACCTTGACCCTCGAACTGCGACTTCCGACTCAGACCGCGCCGACTGCGACTTCGATTTCGACTTCGACGACGACGACGACGACGACGAGGACGGACGGCGGACGACGGACGACGAACCACGGACGACGGACGACGGACGACGGACAACGACGACGATGTCGACGACGACGACGACGACAACGACAACGACGACGACACCGCTGCCGCCGCCACCGACGTCGACGACGCCGACGCCGACGCCGACGCCGACGCCACCTCCGCCGCCGACGCCGACGCCGACGCCACCGCTGCCGCCGACGCCGACGCCGACGCCGAAACCGCCGGCGCCGCCGCCGCCGCTGCCGCCGCGCCCGCTGCCGCCGACGCCACTGCTGCCGCCGCCGACGACGCCGACGCCGACACAGCCGCCGCCGCCGACGACGACGCCGCCGACGCCGACGACGACGCAGACGACGACGCCGACGACGACGCCGACGCCGACGACGACGACGACGAACACGACGACGCCAACGCCGACGCCACCGCCGCCGCCGACGCCGACGACGACGACGACGACGACGACGACGCCGACGCCGACACCGCCGCCGACGCCGACGACGACGACGTCACCGCCGCTGACGACGACGACGACGACGCCGACGCCAACGCCGACGCCGACGACGACAACGACGACGCCGACGCCGACGCCGACGCCGACGCCGACGCCGACGCTGCCGCCGCCGCAAACGCCGTCGCCGACACCGCCAACGACGACGCCGCCGCCGCCGACGACGACGACGCCGACGGCGCCGACGACGACGAAGACGACGTCGATGACGACGCCACACGACTGCGACGACGACGCCGACCCACGACCTTAGGATATGACGACGACGACGACGCAACGCCGACGCCGACGAACACGACGCCGCCGACCCCTCCGCCCGCTACCGCGACGACCCTGGGCGCCGCCTGGGGTGACGAAGACGCCGCCGACCGAGACGACATCCGACGCCGACGCCGACGCCGACGACGGAGACGCCGCCGACGCGACACGACGCCGCCGCCGCCGACGACGGTGCGACGACGACGACGCCCCCGCCTCCCCCGACGACCCCGATGCCGACGCCTCCGACTCCCCCCCCGCCCCACAGCGACGACGGCGACGACGGATGCGACGACCTCGTCGGCGCGCGCCGGCGTACGGAGGCCGACGCCGCCGCCGACGACGACGCCACCGCCAACAACGGCGCCGCCGCCGACGCCGACGACGACGACGACGACGACGACGACGACGGCGCCGACGACGACGACGCCCACGACGCCGACGACGACGCCGACGACGACGACGCCGACGTGCCGTGCCGCGCTGGCGGCCCGCGGAAGCCACCGTGCCATCTCGCGCAAGACCCAGTGTTGGATCGTCGCTCAATCCGACCAGCCATAACTGGGGGAGCTGTGGTCCTTACCCCTCTGGGGGAACCCATCGCATCGACGATCTCTCGAGAGGGGTGTCGAGATCGATGGGTCCCCCAGGGGGGGTAAGGACCACAACTCCCCCAATTGTGGCTGGCCTGTCAATGCCGCCTCCACCCGCACCCGGGGCTCGGGCGGGCCTCTCCCCCCCCTCTCGGCCCTCGGGGGGGCCCTCCGCGGCGCCCGCTCCTGGGCGGCCCTGGGCGCACCCGTGTGGCCTCGTGGGCCCGAGCCGAGTCGACGACGACGACGCCGACGCCGAGGACGACGCCGACGACGAGGACGAGGACGACACCGCCGCCGCCGACGACGCCGACGCCGACGCCGCCGACGCCGACGACGGCGCCGCCGCCGCCGACGGCGACGCCGCCGACGCCCACGGCCCGGCGGGCGGCCCGGCGGGCGGCACCTCCGACGGCGGCCCGGCGGCCGGCGGGCGGCGGCCGGGCCCCGCGGCCTGGTCGAACGGGTTCGGCATGTTGTCGTAGTTGTCCTGCGGCCCCCCGCGGGGCGCGCCGAGGGGCCCGCGGCTCGGAGCCGGGGGCGCGTCGCCGCTCCTGGCCGCCGCCGCCGCCGCCGTCGCCATCGCCGCAGCCGCCGTCGTCCGTCGTCATCAGCGTCGTCGTGGTCGTCGTCGTGGTCGTCGTCGCCGCCGCCGCCGGCGGCGGCGGCGGCGGTGTCGCGCCGGCCGCCGCGGCCGCCAGGGGAGGGCAGGGCCACCAGGGGAGGGCAGGGCAGGGAGGGCAGAGAGGGGGGAAGGGACGGGGAGATAAAGGGGGGAGGGTCGAAGGGGAGGGGAGGATCAAGCTAGGTGCGCTCGCGTCATATCTGACGTTCTACCCCTCTCTACCATACCTGACAATGGCGTAGAGCCCTTCTCTATTCGCACAATCGGATGTCGCAGCATGGCATAGCATTACATCGCATGGCATGGTGTTGAAGATCAACGCGTAGCATGAAATAGCATGGCGTGGGGGTGGGGGCTTCTGCGGCCCAAAATATCGACGAATCGACGCCGAATGTGTACTGTTGAAGCGGTTAATATTACAGTGATAATTCCCTGAACAATTTTTCCGGTAATGTAATGGGCGTGCGTGACTTTCTGGTTGGATTTGTTTGTTCAGGAAGGTGGGTGGATTCTAGAAGGGAATTAACAGGAGTTGGGGAGGATTTGGGAATTGGGGGGGGTTACAAAGGAAAGAGCAGGAGTTGGGAAGTTGGGACCCGGGGATGATTCTACAAAGGAAAGAGCAGGAGTTGGGGGGGATTCTGGAATTGGGGAGGATTCTACAAAAGGAAAAAAGGAGGAGTTGGGGAGGATTTGGGAATTGGGGAGGATTCTACAAAAGGAAAAGGAGGAGTTGGGGAGGATTTGGGAATGGGGGGGGTTCTACAAAGGAAAAAGGAAGAGTTGGGGAGGATTTGGGAAGTGGGGAGGATTCTACAAAGGAAAAAGGAAGGGTTGGGGAGGATTTGGGAATTGGGGAGGATTCTACAAAGGAAAAAGGATGAGTTGGGGGGGATTTTGGAATTGGAAATGATTCTACAAAGGAAAAAAAGAGTTGGGGAGGAATTTGGAATTGGGGAGGATTCTACAAAGCAAAAAAGAGGAGTTGTGGAGGATTTGGGAATTGGGGGGAGGGGGGGCTTCTACAAAAGAAAAAGGAGGAGTTGGGGAGGATTTTGGAATTGGGGAGGATTCTACAAAGGAAAAAGGAGGAGTTGGGGAGGATTTTGGAATTGGGGAGGATTCTACACAGGAAAAAAAAAGCTGGGGAGGATTGAGGAATTGGGGATGATTCTACAAAAGGAAAAAGGAGGAGTTGGGGAGGATTTGGGAATTGGGGTGGATTCTACAAAGGAAAAAGGAGGAGTTGGGGAGGATTTTTGGCATTGGGGAGGATTCTACAAAGGAAACAGGATGAGTTGGGGAGGATTTGGGAATTGGGAAGGATTCCACAAAGGAAAAAGGAGGAGTTGGGGAGGATTTGGGACTTGGGGAGGATTCTACAAAGGAAAAAAATGGAGTTGGGGAGGATTTGGGAATTGGGGAGGATTCCACAGGAAAAAAAAAAGAGTTTGGGGGGGATTTGGGAATTGGGGAGGTTTCTACAAAGGAAAAAGGAAGAGTTGGGGAGGATTTGGGACTTGGGAGTATTCTACAACGGAAAAAGAAGCTGGGGAGGATTTGGGAAGGATTCTACAAACGGGAAGAGTTGGGGAGGATTTGGGAATTGGGGAGGATTCTACACAGGAAAAAGGAAGAGTTGGGGAGGATTTGGGAATTGGGGAGGATTCTACACTACAAAAGAGAAAGGAGAAGTGATGAGGGAATTGGGGAGGATTCTGGGAAGTTGGGGAGGATTCTACAAAGGAGAAAGGGGAGTTGGGGAGGATTTGGGAATTGGGGAGCGTTCTACAAAGGAACAAGGAGGAGTTGGGGAAGATTTGGGAATTGGGGCGGATTCTACAAAGGAAAAAGGATGAGTTGGGGCGGATTTGGGAACGGGGTGGGTTCTACAACGGAAAAAAAAGGAGTCGGGGAGGATTTGGGAATTGGGGAGGATTCTACAAAAGAGAAAGAAGGAGTTGGGGAGGATTTTAGAATTGGGGAGGATTCTACAAAGGAAAAAGGATGAGTTGAGGGGATTCTTTGGGAATTGGGGAGGGTTCTACAAAGGAAAAAAGATGAGTTGGGGAGGATTTGGGGATTGGGGAGGATTCTACAAAGGAAAAAGGAACAGTTGGGGAGGATTTTGGAATTGGGGGGGAATCTTCAAAGGAAAAAAAAAGTTGAAGATGATTTGGGAATTGGGGCGGATTCTACAAAGGAAAAAGGAAGAGCTGAGGAGGATTTGGGAATTGGGGAGGAGGAAAAAAGAGGATTTGGTGAGGATTTGGGAATTGGGGAGGGTTCTACCGAGGAAAAAAAGGTGGTTGGGGAGGATTCGGGAATTTGAGAGGATTCTACAAAAGGAAAGAGGAGGAGTTGGGGAGGATCTGGGCATTTGGGGAGGATTCTACAAAGGAAAAAAACAATTGGGGAGGATTTTGGAATTGGGGAGGATTCTACAAAGAAAAAGACGGAGTTGGGGAGGATTTGCGAACTGAGGAGGGTTCTACAAAGGAAAAAGACCGAGTTGGGGAGGATTTGGGAATTGGGGGGGATTCTACAAAGGAAAAAGGAAGAGTTAAGGGAGGATTTGGAAATTGGGGAGGATTCTACAATGGAATAACTGGTGAGATGGGGAGGATTGGAGAATTGGGGAGGATTCTACAAATGGGAGAAGGATGAGTTGGGGAGGATTTGGGGATTGTGGAGGATTCAACAAACGAAAAAGGATGAGTTGGGGAGGATTTGGGAATCGGGGAGGATTCGAAAAAAGGAAAAAGGATGAGTTAGGGAGGATTTGGGAATTGGTGAGGATTCTACACAGGAAAACGACGGAGTTGGGGGGGATTTGGGAATTGGGGAGGGTTCCACAAAAGGAAAAAGGTGTGTTGGGGAGGATTTGGGAATTGGTGAGGATTCTACAAAAGGAAAATGAATAGTTGGGGGGAATTTGGGAATTGGGGTGGGGATTCTACACATGAAAAAACAAGAGTTGAGGATGATTTGGGAATTGAGACGGATTCTACAAAGGAAAGAGGAGGAGCTGGGGGGGATTTGGGAATTGAGGAGGATTCTACAAAGGAAAAAGGAGGAGTTGGGGAGGATTTGGGAATTGGGGAGGGTTCTACCAAGGAAAAAGGAGGAGTTGGGAAGGATTTGGGAATTGGGGAGGATTCTACAAAAGGAAAAAGAGGAGTTGGGGAGGATGTGAGTATTTGGGGGAGATTCTACAAAGGAAAAAAAACCAGTTGGGGAGGATTTGGGAATTGGGGAGGATCCTACAAATGAAAAAGAGGGAGTTGGGGAGGATTTGGGAATTGAGGAAGATTCTACAAAGGAAAAAGGAGGAGGTGGGGATGATCTGGGAATTGGGGATTATTCTATCAAGGAAAAAATAGGAGTTGGGGGGGATTTGTGAATTGGGGAGGATTCTACAAAGGAAAAAGGAGGAGTTGGGGAGGATTCGGGAATTGGCGAGGATTCTACAAAGGAATAAAGGAATAGTTGGGGAGGATTTGGGAACTGAGGAGGATTCTACAAAGGAGAAAGGAGGAGTTGGGGAGGATTCGGGAATCGGGGAGGATTCCACAACGGAAAAAGGGTGTGTTGGGGAGGATTTGGGAATTTGGGCGGATTCTACAAAGGAAAAAGGAAGAGTTGGGGAGGATTTTGGAATTGGGGAGGATTCTACAAAGGAGCAAGGAGGAGTTGGGGAGGATTTGGAATTTGCTGAGGATTCTACACAAAAAGAAAAAAAGGACGAGTTGGGGAGGATTTGGGAATTGGGGAGGATTCTACAACGGAAAAAAATGTTGTGGGGAGGATTTGGGAATTGGGGAGGATTCTACAAAGGAAAAAGGATGAGTTGGGGAGGATTTGGGAATTTGGGAGGATTCTACAAAAGGGAAAAACAGAAGAGTTGGGGGGGATTTTGGACATTGGGGATGATTCTACAAACGAAAAAGGATGAGTTGGGGAGATTTTTGAAATTCGGTGGGATTCTACAAAGGAAAAAAATAGGAGTTGGGCAGGACTTGGGAATTGAGGAGGGTTCCACAAAGAAAACAAAAGGAGGAGTTGGGGAGGATTTGGGAATTGGGTGAGGATTCTACAAAGGAAAAAGGAGGAGTTGGGGAGGATTTGGGAATTGGGGAAGATTCTACAAAGGAAAAAATGTGTTGAAGAGGATTTGGGAATTGGGGAGGATTCTACAAAGGATAAAAGGAGGAGTTGGGGAGGATTTGGGAATTGGGGAGGATTCTACAAAGGAAAAATGTCTCCCAAACTCATCCTTTTTTCCTTTGTAGAATCCTCCCCAATTCCAAAATCCTCTCCAACTCATCCTTTTCCTTTTGTAGAATCCTCCCCAATTCCAAAATCCTCCCCAACTCCCCCTTTTCCTCTGTAAAATCCTCCCCAATTCCCAGATCCTCCCCAACTCCTCCTTTTTCCTTCGTAGCATCCTCCCCAATTCCCAAATCCTCCCCAACTCTTCTTTTTTTCCTTTGAAGAATCCTCCCTCATTCCTAAATCCTTTCCAACTCCTCCTTTTTCCTCTGTAGAATCCTCCCCAATTCCGAAGTCCTGCCCAACTCCTCCTTTTCCCTTTGTAGAATCCTCACCAATTCCCAAATCCTCCCCAACTTGTCCTTTTTCCTTTGTAGAATCCTCCCCAATTCCAAACTCTTCCCCAACTCCTCCTTTTTTTTTCCTGTGTAGAATCCTCCCCAATGCCAAAAAATCCGCCCCAACTCCTTCTTTTTCCTTTGTAGAATCCTCCCCAATTCCAAAAAAATCTCTCCAACTCCCTCTTTTTCCTTTTGTAGAATCCTCCTCAATTCCCAAATCCGCCCCAACTCCTCCATTCTCCTTTGTAGAAT